CCAAAGGACAACTGCTAATTTGAATGATAGCTGGATTAGCCCTTTTCTTCTCCATGAGTTTGTCATTCTGGCATTTAGTGTGCTATCTTGCATTTTTGTTTCTGTTTTGGCATCAAATTCAGGATTTGTCAATACCAAAAATGTCTTTCAGATGTGATGTGGCAATTGGTCATGAAATTAGTAGAAAGCTTAGTATAACATTTCCAATAATGAAGTATAGTTCTGTAGTCAAAGGTGTTATGTTACTGTCAATAAAATACAATTATTTTTTGAACTGAATTATTCAACTTTTTTTGAGCTTCAGAATTATTCGTCTATCATAATAATGTAAATGCAAAAATCTTTGATTTTACGTGAAATTCAGCTCACTAAAAGAAACTTGCTCAATAATTGTACTCTTAACAATTGTCTTTGAAAATTAGGTAGTTTTAATGTCTATGACTACAAATCACAATTAAGTGACAAAAATCTTAATTTCTCATAGAATGTGGCAAGTAAGGGCCAAAAAAAAGGCCTATCCTAGCTTCTCTGATTTGATTTCTGTTATCTAAAGGCAGAACCTTTCATACCATATTTTCTGAATATGCAGTTTCCATGCAGGGTCACTTTCTCTAGAAAACACACAATTTATACTGCTAAAATTAGGAGTAATTTGGGTTTGGAATGCCAAAAAATTGTATGTTTATTATATCACAGGCTCTTTTTTAGTTTTAGGAGGTATGTTGAAAGATGCCTATGCCTTCACTGACCTGGGAGAGCTCCATTGTTAGAATGGGTCTCTCCTTAAAGAGGAACTGTTAACAAAGAACTTTATCAAAGGCAGTTTATTTTGCAGGATGATGAAAAGGTAGGGAAAAAAAACTACTACCAATGCTTATTTAAGTGCTGCAGACTGAGTTTATAAGCGTCTCTATCAGATGCAGATGGACAATACAAATAAATGGAAGTTCATTCAGGTAGGCTTTCACTTCCAAAATTTTATTCTACTACACTTTAAATTCCTATACCCTAAAATGAGAAGATACACACAGTTTTAGGAATCAAAAATCCATCTTAGAAATCCCTTCTACTTAGGAAACTTATCATTCTTCTCTATTCAGAAAACCAAACTACATACTGAACTGTAACTGAAATTCTTTAAACTGAGCTTTTTTTTAAAGAGCTAAACTCTTTAAAGCTGAGTTCCATCCATCAGTAAGTATAGAATGCTGACAGCTTATCTTTAAATAAAAAAAAGTTTGTACTTACTGTTACTACAAGCAAGTATTAATTTTCCTCAGATACGTGCATGCTGTTATGGCCTCTCTGTGAATACTTTGCTTTTCTAAGCTCACAAAGGATGGGCTCACTGTCTTGGTAAGGCTTAATAGGATAAGTTCAAATATTTTTTTCCTTTGGACTTACCCACTTCTGTAATGTCAATCCCAGTCAGCAATGATATGCTATAAATACTTATCATTTCAATCACTGAAGCAATAAAGGACTAATAGTTATTTAATTTTTAACACCTAAAGCAGAGGAGAAAAATAACTTACTTGGGTTTTATAAAATGTCAGCTTTGTCTGAAAAGTCTTAACCAGATTACCTAACTAGCAGTAAAGATAAAAGAGGGAGCAATGTTGCTCACAGCCTTGTGCCACTTCTTTTTCTATTTCTGTCTCCTAAGCTCAGAATTGGATTAGTATATTTAATTCCATGACTGGTCTACCTTTAATTAGCCCACTGACATCCACCCCTTTTTCCTTCACTTGGCAATATTCCTACACAAACCACAGAATGTAATTTTAATTATAGTATCAACACTGGAATGATGTTATTTTTCAAATGTTTACACATATCCAATGTAAAAAAAAAAGATGAAAGTAGCATGCTTACAGTGAAAATGCAGTTTATAAAATTATCACAACTGCTATTGTGTTTACGTTAAAAACACGTAAGAAGGACATGGAGGTGCAGGAGCAAGTCCGGAGTAGGCCACAAGGATGATCAGAGGGCTGGAGCACCTCACGTATTAGAACAGGATGAGAAAGTTGGGGCTGTTCAGCCTGGAGAAGAGAAGGCTGCATGGAGACCTCATAGCAGCCTTCCAGTATCTGAAGGGGGCCTATAAGAATGCTGGGGAGGGGCTCTTCATTAGGGACTGCAGTAGTAGCACAAGGGGTAATGGGTTAAAACTTAAACAGGGGAAGTTTAGATAGGATATAAGGAAGAAGTTCTTTACTGTAAAGGTGGTGAGGCACTGGAATGGGTTGCCCAAAGAAGCTGTGAATACTCCATCCCTGGCAGTGTTCAAGGCGAGGTTCGACAGAGCCTTGGGCGACATTGTCTAGTGTGAGGCGTCTCTGTCCATGGCAGGGGCTTGGAACTAGATGAACTTAAGGTCCTTTCCAACCTAAACCAATCTATGATTCTATATGTACTTACATAATATGTAAGCTCTTGTTATCACATGAGCTTTCAGCTTGGTTAGTGCTATCATCTATTTTGGTTTGTGTTTAAACACCTCATCATATTTTTTTTATTACTATTTGTAAATTATTATAATTTCAAAGCCAGGTAAAATACGTATTTACAAATTATATACTGAAGTTAATTCTCTGTAGTGTATAGAGAAATTACGAGAAAAGGCATCCCCAGAATTTTCTGCCTTGTCCATCTATAGGTAATGAGTATTCTTTTTGTTCTGGCACCAGTATAGAAGCAAGAGAGAAGACAGTGAGACCATTATTAGAGAGTGTGAAAAAAACCCTCTGTATTTTTAGGGTTTAAGGAATACTGCAAATCTGCAGCCTTTTGGATAAAGTAAATAACTGAAAATCTTATGGAGCTGTTGCTGTAACCACACTCCAGTTAGGACTGCTACACTCTGCTTAACCATTGCTAAATTTAATTTGGTTCTTTTCTAAATTGCTGTAGTTGCTAAATAACTACAGCATTTAGCTCTTCCAGGAGGTTTTCATACGTAATCTGCAAACAATATTTATTCTCCAGAAAACTTCTATGCATAGGTATTTTCAAACTATGACTCAATCCCATAACCTATAAACAGGCCAAATTAAGCAATAAAAAGCCAGGAAAAGTTTCACTTTAAATAAGAGATTAAAATTATAAAATTACTTTTTTTAAACAAAGGATATTTGTCATGTACTCTGTGAATGGTTGATCTATTGGGAGGGAAAAAAGTAAAGAAAGCTTGAAAAGGACGTTCGTGTAGGTTTTAAAAATGTATATAGATTAAAAATTGTTGCAACACCAGCTGTTATTAGAGCTGAAAGATCAGTAAAATTCTACTTTCAAACTCAGAGATTATGGAAGTGCTTTCTTTTTCAAACTATTCTTTTTGACTTTTTTCATGAAGTAAAACAAAATTTTTCAAATTATTTATTAGCACTGTAATTGCAGAAATGTATTGTTTATACAGATTCTCAATTAAAAAATAGTCTGATTCTTAGTATCAGTATGGATATCAGTATGGTTATGGATACTGAGTTTCATAGTTATAGGAACCCACTATAATTTCCTACATGAAAAATTAATATTAGGATAGGTCCTCTACATGTATTTTTCAGTATCCCAATGTCATAAATACTTTATGGTAACTATGCTTGCTCTTTATCTTCCCTTTTCCATCTTATCCTCATCCCTTCCTTGTTCATCTTTCTTAATGTACATAATTATACAGTACTAGCTAAAATTCCTTCCATTTCTTAGTTTCCATCACTGTTTCCATGCGCTATCCTTTACTTGTATAAGCAACTGCAACAAGGCTTCCTTAAGTCCCACTGATTTTTAAAAGATTAATTCCACTGATAACATGCAGTCCCACTGGATGCTTGTCATGCTTCCCCTTAAAAGCAATTTTTAAGGGAAGCAGTGCATTGCTTCCTTCTCTTTTCCAGATGGCTCAACAGACAACCTGATTTCCTTCACCTGTAGGTGCAGACGAAACAAGAGAGAGGATCAGACAATGTAATGATTTGTCAACTGTTCCAAATCTGTCAGAAATGCTTCTTGCTTTAAAGTCTGATATGCACTGCCTTAGAAAAAAAAAAAAAAAGCTGAGTATAGTATGGCACTGTATGGCAAAAAAAGAACCATTAGGATTTGTAAATTTTTTTACCGATTCCAGTTTGCAGAGCATTCTGAAACAAATCTGATATCATTCACTGATTAAAAAATATTCAAATTACTTTGAATAAACCAATTATCATAATATTTACAACTATAATTGTATTTCCTTTCATTCACTTGCATTTTATCACTGAATCATTTTATCAATGAATGCATGATCAGACTAGTGAACCATTACATAACATTAATAATAAATATACTTTTATAACCTTCCATTTTGAAAGAATATTAACATTCGATAACACAACAAATTAAGGCACAAATCTGAACTGTAGTATTAAATATAAATAAGTAAATATTTTAATTTCTATGTTGCTTTCCCAGTTTTAGAGCTGGGGTTAATATATTTCTTTCAACTGTAAAATTCCTAACAGTAGTAACAATCTTAGTGTCTTCATTTCCATGAAAGAACTCTGTACTTATTTTGAAATATTATGAATTGTTTAATTAGTCTACTTTTCTCCTCCACTACTCTTACATTTCCAATTATTAGAAAATGAAGTAATTCAGTGCTTAGGGTCAGTAAGCACATTATTCTCTTATAAAAATACCTAATATTTAGGCTTTTGAAGATGGTTCTCCAGTATCTTTTTCATAAACAGAATACTGTGTTGCACCTTTAAATTCAGGCTGATGTACAATTGGGTAAGTGCAGGTTAAATCAAACAGGGGGAGTAAATACTCTTAAAGGGTTACTGACATAAAAGATAGAAAGTACTACATATTCACCATTTAAGTATGCCATTAGCTTAAAAATAACCATAGGTGATAGGACTTTCAGCACTAAATGTTGATTTTTGTGCCAGGCAGAATTTAAAGAAAGGATAGGAAAAAAAGAGAATGAAACAATTAAGAGGACATAAATAGTGTTCAAACAGGAGGGAAGGTCAGGCCTTTTAGTAATGCTGTGACTCATTCCAGTGGTGGACAGAAAAGGCCAAATCAAACATTCAGAGCTTAACAGCAGTAAATCACTTATTAGAATTAAAGATTAGCATTTATTCCAATCCAATGTTTTATCAACTGGTGTGCAATAGCTTGACTCAGTGGTACAAAGAATGACCGCTGGTTTCCTTTGACAAGAACTTCCATGACCTGCAATAAAGACAGATTTTTTTCTTTTTAGAAGACAGTATTATAAAGTACATCGAATCTAACATTTTATGAATGCAGGAATACTCTAATAATCAATCTGTCTATCGTTACTATAGCTAGTAAAGAGCCACTACCGTATTCTCCAAGACAGATGCAGAGAAAAAACACACGTGGTTTAAACCCAGTCAGGTAATTCGTTCGCTCACTTCCCCAACTTTCTTGCCCTCCCCCTGCTCCCGGAGTGACGGAGAGGAGAATCGAAAAGAATGCAACTCCCACGGGTTGAGATAAGAACAGTTTAGTAACCAGGGTATAACACAGATCACTACTGCTACCACCAATGATAATAATGATAAAGGAAATAACAAGGGAAGAGAATACAACACCTCAGCACCAGCCGACCGATAACTCGCCCCCCAAGCCCGACCAAGCTCCGACCGATACCTCCTCCAACCCTGCAGTCTCCCAGCCCTTCCGGCTAACTCCCAGTTACATCCTGGGCATGACGTGCTGTGGTATGGAATACCTCTTTGGTCAGTTTGGGTCAGGTGTCCTGTCTCTGCTTCCTCCTGGCTTCCCCTCCTCCCTGGCAGAGCATGAGCCTCACAAAGTCCTTGGCCAAACCAAAACATCTCTATCAGTTCTGTTCCCAGGCCGAAAGTCAAAACACAGCACTGCACCAGCCACCAAGAAGAAGAAACATGACTGCTACTGCTGAACCCAGGACAGGATTATGTGTGAATGCTGACATTTTTGAGCTCAAAAGGGCCCCAAAGGATACCTTCTTTCTAATACAATTCCAGAGATTGACTGTTAGTAAAATATTTAAGGTTTGTGTGAAGCCTTTTTATGGTAAGGACCACGAGATGGTGCTCTACACTCTTCCATAAACTACTCTTTTTTTTTTTTATTCCTCCACACGCAGTGCAGAAAGAAATGTGTTTTGTTCATTTTCTGAAGCACTCACAAAGCAACATGCAAGTACACTTTCAGTAGTTCCAGTTTAGTACATTTCTGAAGTACATTTATTTCCACCTCTAGACCAACTTGCATGTGACTGTATTCAGAACTGATATTAATTTAAAATAATGCTCTCAGTGATGTCAGGAATACACTGAGATTATAGTTAACTGACTTTGCCTTTAGGTTGACTTACAGAGCTAAAACACTAGCAACTGCTAAACAGAAGTACAGTGTTAAAAGTTTAGCTCCTAAGTAGCCTGTGGAAAAACCTATGAAGACTATTTGTCTAAGCAATCTTGCCTTTTTCCATTCATGAATTTAAGTCTCTCTTTCTGTGAAAGACTTTCTTTCCTCTCTTTGACTATATTTTAAGTACTCAAAACAGCTAAATGCAGAATTTCCTATTAATGCAGAGTAAACTCTGTTTTTATACAAAGAGTATTCAAACTAAGAATACCTCGGAGTTCAACACCAGTGTATTAACGTACTGAATGGAAAAAGACATTCAAACTAATGAATTCTCAGAGTTTTTACCTAAACCTCCCTCCTCACAGCAGATCTCATGGCATGCTTGTTTGGAGAAACTCAAGATGATGAATGTTATTAAATACTACTTCTGCCAAAATGAAAAATGACTTAGAAATTCCCGTGAATATCTGCCTTTCTCTTTGTTGTGTGTAATCTACAATTACAATATAATGCAATTGTAGACTGGTAAAATGAAGAGTACACATGCTTATCCAACTTGCTGAAAAATACCCAAGTATCTATTGTATGCCAGAACCTATACAGTCACAGAGTAATCGATACAAGAAGAAATTAAATTGAACTTTACCTGTTCTCTAGTGAACCAGCTGGCATCCTCTATTTCATTCTTGTCAACTTTAATTTCTGTAGACACTGCAACAGCTAAGCAGCCAATCATTAAGGAGGAGGGCATTGGCCATGGCTGACAAGAGACATACTGAACACGGCCAATTTTTACTCCAGCCTCCTCTTCTACTTTTCTTTGGACAACATCTTCTATTGTTTCACCTAATCAGAAAGGGCAAAGAACAAGCAGTTGATGAAAATACTCCAAGCCAGGATTACATTCTTTTCTTCTGTGCTTTGAACTGACTCAAAAGACTTGACAATTGCCCAAGACAATTATCCATAGAGATCTAGTTCACAGATCAGAGCACAGACCTTAAGCACAAGATACAGAAGTCTGGTAAAGTAAAACAAGCTACCAAAGCAAAATGGAACTTTGAAAATAAAGTATGATAATTCCTACAGCATAATATTTATTCCCGGAATTGACAATTTATCATATGTGTAAACTATTATTACCAAACCTAAAATGTCAAAAATCAGGTAGGAAATACATTGTTCCTTTAACTACTTTCAAAATGCTGATCTGTTCATTTATGAATAGCACTGTGTTAATTTTTAGATTTTCCGTGCGATTGCAACAGCATGTTATACAACTTGAGAATCAGTATTTCAAATTATAATAGTAAGAAAATAGAGCCTCAAGAAGACTTGCACACATTTTTGCTTTTTATTATTACTTTGCCTGACTCATTCTTCATTGTCTTAATAAATACACACAATTCTCCAAACTTAAACTGCAATGGAAAGCTTTACTTCCATATTCATAGTAAACTGATAGATGCGTATGTGGAGTATTGACAGTAATAGACATATGCATACTTGTACTGTACTGTAACCACTGATTACAGACTCATTAAAGCAGACAGCCCATGCACCAGAGAACAAGGTTTTAGTTCAGCTATGTTCAGCTGATTAGAAGTTGCTGCTGAGATCTTAAATTTCAGTTTATATGCTTGAATTCAGTATCAGAAATAAGGCCAACAGAAGACAGCAAGCAGTGAAGAAATAAGTATCTTGACTTTTCAAATGATACTTGAATAACCTTATTCATGCTATGATTGTATTTCACCTGCATAAAGTTACTGAATATAGTCATACACTAGTTTTACTGGTGATTAAGATGTATTCCCAATATAAAAAGTTTTACAAGTTGTTCTGCAGCTTCTAATAATTGCAACTAATTCCAACTATTACTGCTGAATACAGCTAACAAAGTATCTGTTTTTCTTTTGAAGTGATACAATTTCTATTTTTCTCCCATGTAATCAATCAGGCTCTTAATGTGTAAGCATATGCTTAACTTTATGTTAACTTTTTAACTCTTACATTTCCTAAGCTAAAATCCCTTGCTAAATATAACCAAAAAAAGAGACCTTGTATATGTTTTAAAATGTCTTTTTTACTTAAAAATGTGATGAGAAAGCTATCTTAAAATTATATTTACTTAAGTTGCTTTTTTTTTTTCATAAATCGGCTGCTGGAAAGTACAGGACAGGCTACCTAACAGGTAGCAAAAATATTTATTTGCCATAACACCAAACATATTTCTATATTATTTTCAACGGACAATACTGGTATCTGAGAAAAAATATTTGGTAAGGGAAAACAAAATTACTCACCAGGTTCTACAAATCCAGCAAGACAGGTAAACATTCCTGGGGGAAACCTCTTCTGCCTACCTAAAAGGCAGTGGTTGCCATCTGGATGGATGACTTGCATTATTACAACAGGATCTTTAAGGCACATGAAAGGAACATATTTTAACATTTGAAGGAATTAAAGGCAGTAATAAATTTCAGCCTATCCAATACCAATGCATGCAAATACAAGTAAGATATCTTTAAATGACTGAGATTAGAATTGTATGGAAGCGCAGAGTAAGATACTACTTTATTTTGATTTTTTTTTTTTCCTCCTGCAAGGTATCTGTTTTGCAACACCTATGCTTAGTACAAGCAGTTTACTAGCCAAGGCTTAAAATGCAGGACATTAATTACCTGCAACCAAAGCACACAATCTGTTATGAGTACCAGCAATATTAACCTAGCTATGCAGTCACCAGATAGCAGTAATTTCTGCAGCAAAACCAGTTTACTTTCACCTTCTGTATGCACACAGGTATGATGTACTTTTGACTGAAATACCAAAGAACCACCAGATACTCCAGTTACAATGTAAACACTGAATAAACTTTCTGTTTATTGATTCATTGACCATTTGCTATCAAACTCTTAGCTGATGTTGCACTTTTACATACTTTCTCACTTCTGGTCATTTTCTTTTTCAGTATTGTTTAATACTTTCTTCTATTGGCATCATTATTTTTGTCATGCCTTTTTGCACACTGTTCATCTACCATCTTTTCCCCTTTTTTATTGTTATCTAGCTCTTAAGTTCCTCAAGGTTTTGGGGTTTAGTTTTTTCTATCTCCCTTTGCCTTTATGTATTTCTTCTTCAGCTATTGCTTTACATGTTTTTTCCTTTCCAGAACACCGACATTTTCTGTATGAAAAGGCTTGATTCGGCAACCACTATAAAGAGCAATTTGAAAGACTTCTGTCCTGCTCAAACATATGTGCCATATAGCACAGTGTGTATCACGGAGTATTGCCATCTGTAAACTTTCTACAGAGTTATCAATAGAAAATGCTGGTTCATCAGTCTTTTCTATATAAACCTACTCCTCTCCAAGTTTGTTGTGCTAGAGACTGTAAAGAAACAGGCACTAATATTTCAGCAAGTTTCACTGCAGTCTGTAAGACAGAAGAGTATGACAGAATTGCTTTTACTACTACAAAGATGTATCTACAGCATGTAAGAAAACATGAAATCCAGAAATATAATACACATACATCTAGAACTACAACTGCAAAAGAAAGGAAAGGGCAGGGGAAAGAATGGTGATTCAAATCACCAAAAGATCCAGGAAGAAGTGATAAGGTTTTTTTAGCTCCCTTGTTTCCCCATCAATAACACAGTACACTCCCTTTGCAATAGATGAACAAAAGGAGCTACAGAAGACTGCCTACAGAAGCTTACGTTCTGATGAGAAACAGGCCTGGCAGTTTGTGACTGACAGAGAATAACAAAAGGCAGTGAAGATATCTAATACTGTCAAAGTGGCATTACAGGAAAATGAGCACTGTATCAGAAATTTGATACAGGGCCAAATTTGATACAAAACTATTTCAACCTCAAACAGCTTGCAGCAAGTGAAAAAAAGGGGGGGGGAATTAAAATGTGACCCTTTGCTAATATTTATGGTGTTGGAAATTCTAATTAGTATTACTCCATTGCAATCAAGACTGGTATTGTCACAAGAATGCTTTGTCGCAGACTACTGTAAGAAAGAAAAGCCTGAACAACTTAATCCTGAATAGAGCTGAGGCACGCATACTCTGGGGGAAGACATGTATTAAGACCTGAAACGGAAGCAAGCAGCTGAAGTAACTAAAACAGAAACAAGCCACTTCCGTAAATCCTGCAATATTCTCACCAACTCTTGGATATGATGTGTTGTGAACACCTTGAAGACTGGGACAATCTTTTTTTAAACAAGTTTTCTTGTAACCCGCTTCTTCAATCTTGGTTGCACTCCCACATGTTGGGCAGAATTGGTAGCGGCTGTGCCATGCTAGAACAGATCTAGCCTGGGCTACTACTCCTTCAAAAGGATATATTGAAAAGACACAAAATCAATGACCAATTCATGTAAGCTTTTAATGTACAGAAAAAGCAAGTAGTAAAGTTTAACATAAAAAAAAAATCAAAGACTGTGGCTTGAATTGTTGAGCAAGTTACTCAGATCTTTGTAGCACAGCATGTGCAATAGAACACAGTACTACAACACCTACAGACCAAATTATGCATTCAGAAACAAATTAATCTGGATCAATAAGCTGTGTTTCTCACAAAAGCTACTTTATCTGGGCAAAGTGCCAGAATTACATATCACACCTTTTCCACATGACCATTTCAGGGCTACTACAGGTATTGACATAATAATATACTGCTGCATTTAAACTCCAGGTGCAAGCTTGCCCTTTATCCTCTTGTAAAAGCAAACTTGTTACAACAGCAACTGTTAACATCATCTCCATAATGACAGTCGCTCACTTTGGGATCCTGACTTTCCAACACTTGCTCATACTGTTTCCTTCTCAGACGAATGTCCAGTGCACTCTTCTCAATGGCTGTTTTGTTTTGTGTAATGGAAACTCAAGATTTTTTTCTTAGAACATTTATGCACATGTATCAATATTTAAATAGTAGCGCTTATAAAACCATAACAGTAATAGATTTTATGGTCCAATACTTGCCAATGCCATACAAAGGCATTGCTAACACCTGTGTATTAGCCTTTTGCAACTGCACAAGTTCTTACACACAAAATTACTCACAGAACCACTGCCAGGCTTTTAAAATGACAATATTTCTAAAGCCACTGAAAATACCAGATTCCTTTGCAGTGGTTTGTCCTTGCATTATATCTCAGTGCATCCCAAAGTGTATTTTTCTGAATACATGTTTGATAACTGCTGCATTTTATGCATCTTACCAGCTTCTCTTTCAGGTAGCTGCAGCAGTGCTGGCATTGGTGGGTGAAGAAAGGAACAGTCCTCATGCTTCTGTTTAAATTCTTCAGCTGAAGCAGAATCTATGCTAAGAGCAAACCAAGCACCTAACCCATCCTCTTCATCCTCTTGCAGAATTCTTCCATTGCAAGCAGCCAGCAGGTTCATGTGGAACTGAAGTTCAACTCCCAGAAAAATCAAGGTTCTGTCTTCAGTTTGATTCATGTACTGCTCCACATCCTTGTAGCATAGCCTGCAAAGCTTTACTTTTGACTGCTGAGAGCTCTCTGTTCCCCCACCCAAAGTAACCAAAGGACTTAGATTTGAGAAGAGAATGTACACTGCAGTTGGATGGCTTTGTTTTTTGCTTAGCCACTTGGTATCTGTTCTTTTATCACTCCTTCTGTCCAGAAGTGTCAAGCCAAAATAATTTTCATATTCCTCTGCTTCATTTGACAGAAAAGTAGGCCTCTGCCCACCCTTCACATTAGCCAACAAATTAGCTATGTGCTTGTACCCGCAAAATTTAGCAATGTCTAGAGCTGTCTGTCTTGATTTATTCACAATGGTCCTGTCACACCTAGCGAAACAGAAAAGAACAGTGGTTAACAAGATAAATATGTTGAGTCCTGATGCTGTATTATTCTTAATTACATCATATACGTCTGATACTAATTAAAGTGCAAGAACTTCCAGACAGTTTGTCTATCCCAAGGCTAAATACTTAGCATTATGGTAATAAAGACTAACCATACATCATTTTCTTTTGCTAAGGCAAGACACCAGTGTGTTGATCCACTCCAGATCATCATTTACCAAGGTTCATACATACTACAACAGCAATGAATTAATTAACATCCCACATACTGTATCATTAAAAAAAAAAAAAAGCTCAAGATCATAGACTTATACAATCATCTAGGTTGGAAAAGACCTTTAAGATCATTGAGACCAACTGCAAACCTAACACTGCCAAGTCCACCACTAAATCCTGTCACTGCGCTACCTACACATCTTTTAAGTACCTCCAGGAACAGTAACACAACCTTTTCCCTGGGCAGCCTGTTCCACTGCTGAATAACCCTTTTGGTGACAAAATTTTTCCTAATATCCAATCTGTTCTCCCCTGGAACAATATGAGGCCATTTCCTCTCTTTCCTATCATTTCCTCTCTTTCCTATCATTTCTCACCTGGGAGAAGAGACCAACACCCACCTCACTACAACCTCCTTTCATGTAGCTGTATAGAGTGATGGGGTCTCCTGTCAGCCTCCTTTTCCCATACTAATCAAAACCGTAGTTCTCTCAGACCCTCCTTGTAAAGCTTATTCTCTACACCTTTCACCAGCTTCACTGCACTTCTCTGGACATGTAAATATCAACTTTTGGACTTTGAAAGCCAGGCTACAGGTCTATTCTGAATAATCACAAGTAACAAAAAAAAAATCAAAAAAACCAGTTTAACTAGCATTACTCCAAAGAAACATCTGCAAGCAACTTCAAAACATTTACAGTAAAATACGTACCATTAAATAAGAATCAAAAATACAGCCTCCCCTTAGTGAGAGAAGTAGCACCCTTACAACTGAAGTGCTGGTCCCTGAAGGGATCTGTTTGTTACCAAAATGTCTTCAAAGTGACACAGATGAGGAAACATTGCCTCACAATACGTATTTCTATATTAAAAAAATCTGATTGGCATGTCTACTGCAATTTTATTTTTTGTTAAGTCAAGTGGGTAAGCAAAATAGAAATTTCACTGTAAACTACAACTTTCACAGCAGATGTGGCACCAGACTCATCAGTTTTTAAAACTAAGGCACATGTAGCTGTCCCACAGGAACAACTGTTTTGAGATTTTATATTAACCTCAGTAGTTTCTGAAGGTGTTTTGAGTGTATCTTGGAAAAGCATTCAAAGCTTAATTTACAAGGTTTTGTGGCTAAAGAAACCACTTTCGCGCATTTACTATTAAGTCTCCTCTAGGCACAATCTTGTCTAATTTCACTTAATTTCCTATCTGTCAGCCACTAAATTTTGTTCTGAATTTTTATTACCCCATCTATCTGTTCATATATATGCAGACTGTGATCTGGCTGCTGTTCAGCATCCACAACACTGGCCTGAAATTTTTACATCACTAAGAACTTTTTTTGCAGTCTACAAACATTTCCTTCAGCTTTTCTCAAACATGAATACATAAAGTTGACTAGCTTTCCTGTATTAGTTTCTGGAATGTCATGCAATACTACCTGCACAGACATTCACATTTATGTATCCAGCAACAGTTATTTGTCCAAATGATTATTATGACTAAGCATTAACTGAGACCAATGAGGCCACAGTATCACCTCAGGAGCAATACTGAATTGCCTAAGAGAATAGCCTTGAAAAGGACATTTACACACAGATATTCACTCTGCTTTTAGTGTCAGCATAACTTAAAAAAACTGTTATCCTATTTACCAAACTGGTGAATCTCACAAAATCTCAAAAGACTCCTCAACATCCAGAGGATTTCAATCCACAAAATTTGGCACTGAGATACTCCTCTACATGCTGGAATTTACTGATTACAATACAAAACCACAGTTCACCTGATATTCAATGACTGGCCCCAGCAGAGGGCACAGCATTCAGGTAAAACTGAAAATAAAAAGGATGGGATGATCACTGGAGGCTGTGGAACACTGTGTTTGAGATTACTCATAACCAGAAAATGAGCCGAAATTGCTTGGTTCTGATTTTTGGGGTGCAGAAAGGAAACAGACTTGGCTTGATCAATGTACATCTCAGTGGAAGCACACCATCTGACTTTCACCCTTTATGTTGAAATGTTCTCCATTTGAAATATTTGGGTCCTGACTTAATTTAGGCTTCAGAAGAATCTTCTTTGGGGTCTCAAGGAGAATGCTAAAGCATTCTTTGCTGAGTGTCTTTTGAAAGCAGAACTACAAGAGTTGACCTGAAGATAGACAGGTATAACTGAATGTTTCTAAGAGGCAGTGAACATGTTTGGTGTCATACTGACTGATGAAAATAATGTAACAACAGCTCAAGGAGGAAGGAGAAAGTGAACTGGCCAAAAAAATTAAGAGACAACTGAAACACATCAATCAGCAACTTTGGTAAAGGTCCTACTAAGTATGCTGTCAGATTGTCAGCAAACATTCTGTAATGTAGATACAGGTGGATTGCAAATAAAGTTTAAAGCAAAAGTTTAAGTGTAACAGCTGAATATACTCAATTTATTCTCTGTACAGTGGCTGAACAGGATACAGTCTTTGTTCTGTTGGCCTCTGGGAGGAGTGACAATATACGCTTGAAGGCCAAAGGAATAATTTTAGAGATGGTCTTAACGAGTTTCTTAACAAATATGTAAGTGTCGTGACAGCAGAATCCAGTTAGAAACACAGTATATTGAATTTGAACCCTGAAGGTTCTGCTACCTGTCAGGTAATTTACTTTTCTGAGATCAAGTTAGTGGGTGCAAAGGGCTTCAGCTTAGAACTCTTCAACAGGATCTACTGAACAGCTTACCCTTCTGCAAGAAGAATCTGCACGACCTCAAGGTGTCCATTTCTGGCACCATACATCAGGGCTGTCCAGCCATTATCTGCAGCTGCATTGATGAGTGACGGATAAATGCTGAGCAACGTTTTCAATCTGGCTGCATCTCCAACAGCAGCAAAATTTTGCAGCTGGGAAATCATGTCCCGATGGAGGTTCTTTTCAAAGTCTGTCATTGCAGCAACTAAGTTAAAAAGAAAAAAACCCCAAAATGCCTGAAAACATACCCACTATGAGGAAAGGGATTTAGGTGGCAGAATTAAGCTTAAAGATACACAGATAACCAAGTGTCACCAGAAGTACGGGCACAACAGCAAAACTTTTGTAGCATGACATTGTTATTCCTAAGCAAGCCACAGTCCCACACATCTCCAAACACAACTGTTATCCTAATAATCAAGACTAGTTTTGGAGAGGTTTAAGGATTTTGCTACAGAAATGAAGCTTCTCTGAACGTGAAAAACACGCTCTGCTCTCCTCACTGCGCACACAACCAAGGCAGCACTCCAAGAAACAAGTCTCGGCTACTTTGGAACAGAGAAAAACAACGGCGGAGGGGGCGCCCCCGCAGGCCGCAGGGCTCCCCCAGCCACACACAGACCACTGGACCAATTGCGGCGGCCGCTAAGCCCGAACTGCACGCAGTAGCCGCGGCTCGGGGACGCGCACGAGCTGACACAGACCGGCGACGGCCTCGTAACGGCTCCCGGCCGGGCCACGCAAGCCACACAGCCCGGTCCTCCTCCGGAACCTCGCATGTACCCAGGAGCCTCGGGCAGGGGCAGGCCCAGAACCGAGCACGGGCCCTGGCCGGCGGCCCCGCTGCCAACAGCCGTAGGAGCCCCATTACCGTGAGCTCAATCTCCACACCAACCAATCTCCAAAAGCTCTTCTGTCTCAGGGGCGATAAGCGGCTTCTACCCGCTCCGCCCCTGCGGCCGGGGCAGAAGACCCGCCCCAGATCGGGGTTGTTCGTGGAGTTGTTACGCCTGGGCCTGCAGGTGGTGGGATGCACACTATTAACGGAGTGATGCTGCCAAGCAGGGCAACATTGCTGGGCGGGTTAAAGAGCTACAGCCATTTTGTGCTTCAGGCAGAAAGCTCGGTGGTTACAAAAAGCAATAGAACTGTTCTTTAGCGCTGTGCTAAAGAATGGATCTTCAGGACTACCTTAACTTCCTGTAAATTCTATACACCATCCAGTTGAGGACATAACTGCCCAGGATCCTTTCTGACCATCTTTTCAGATCTTTGGTATCTGACAGCTGCTTGGAATGTTTTTTTGATCTCCAGAGGGCTGGTATGTTACTTCCTTGGCCCAAGAAGCAATAGAATGTGTTGTGGGAAGAGTGGAGCAAATGAGATGGCATGGCTTCCCTAACAGGGAACTTGGAATGATGATGCAAGCCAGAAGATAGAGTCATAGAATCCACTGATTTGGAAAAGACCTTTAAGATCATCATGATGCTGAGAAAAACACCCTAAAGAAACTCAATGTAACTATTAAGTAGGTATTTGTTTATTCAGTGCTGGGCACGTGGGGGTTGCGCCTCTTAACAGGTGCACTCTGTCGTCACAAATTTATGTTAGTAGATACACGAGATTTCTGAGAAGAGGAGGGGTCCTTCTTGGAACTCTGCCACTCCTCCTTGAGCGTGTGTATGGTCATCTGGTGGTGGCTGATGGTGGTCGTGAGGATGAAGGCTCAAAGTTTCCTAGGTTGAACTTTTTACCTTTTCTCTTGGAGTATGCACAGTACTTTTATGCGAGTTTCCCAAACCACTGAACCAGTATAAGTCTTTAGCACACAAGCAGTCCTTATTGGCTTAGGCCTAGACAAGTAGTAACAAAGTTGCTTAATTGAATAACTGACCTTAGATATTACGCTACCTTTTTCTTAAAGCTGCTTTTAGTATATGGTTCCCTTGTCTTAGTGAATTTCTGTTCTCAGTCCCCTCCTTTTTCTGCAACTTTAGCAAATTCTTTTGCATTTGCACACAAAGGATAACTATTTCTTTCATTTTGTACCATATGAGGGGTTATGCAGTTATGTTTGATTTATTGCTACATAGATTCCTGCTAAATTTCTAGTTATAATTTTCTTAATGAAACCTAAGGTTATTCTTACTAGTATAATTATTAGGATAATTACAATCAGAGTTTGTATGTAGCAAGCCAACCTGTGAGAGAAAACACAAATCCTTGTAGAATTTTTTTGAACCAGGTAGTTTCCGTATTTTCTCTTAAAGCTCTACTGTCTCATGATGTTCTCTTAATTTGATCAATTTGCTTATTTAAATCTTGAGTGGCATTTGGAATGTGTATACAACATGTTTCATTTTTAATCCTAGAAAGCCACGCATTCGCATGTTATTTTAAAAGGAGTAGGTCTGATGTGAGTCTATGTTGCAATATCATCTTGGAAGTTGTCTGTAATTGCCTGTTTAAGTCCTGCAAAGCTTTTTGGGTGGTGTTTGCTAAGCTTTCTACCTGTTGAGTGAAGTTACATAAAACAAGTTTATTTTCTAATGTCGAGTATCCTGGAGCAAAAATAGCCTTTATAGTTCATAATATTCTTGTACTTGTGCTATGGGATTGTCAGTTTTCCTGATTTTCTCTTCTTACATGTCGCCATAGAGATGGTTGCAAGGGGGATTTTCTCCATAATGGATTTAATAATCCCAAGGTCCATTGTTTTGTTTTATCTATTATTTGTAAATGACTGGTCCACGTTCTATGACTGCCTATCCAAACAACGTGACCTTTTGTCTTTCTAGTATCCTGGAGGCAGTTAATTAGGAGCCATGTATTGTTACTAGTTAAATGTGACCAAGTGTTGTTTAACTGCGTAGAGTAATGCCTACAAATACATCCTAATCTCAATGCTTGAGCAGCAGGCATTAATAATTGTATCTCTGGTTCTGTAGAGCTGCAATTATATATTGTAGTGCAGTTCCATTGTGGCTTATTAACTGTGTTCTTCTTTCTCATTTCCTCAATATTACCATAACTCATCTCTACCTGTAATGGATCTTCAGGACTACCTTAAATTCCTGTAAATTCTGTACACCACCCAGTTGAGGACATAACTTCCCAGGATCCTTTCTGACCATCTTCCCAGATCTTTGGTATCTGACAGCTGCTTGGAATGTTTTTTTGATCTCCAGAGGGCTGTTATGTTACTTCCTTGGCCCAAGAAGTAGGAGGTTTAGTTACATTATGCTTGGTAACTGAACTCTTGACTTTTTTATAATTCAGAGAGTAATTTCATTCTGTACCTACCCATAGTAACTTGCTTTCATTATGTCCTTGCCACATTTTCCCAAATTTTAGTCACATTGATGGGTAAAATTCTCCATGGAAGTGGATTTCCTGCCTTGGTTGGCACTGGTAGACAGACGGTAATGGAGTATACGTTCTGTATTTTTCCAGACCCTTGAACTAGTTGCAAAATTGAATTTTCATTATAACCAATGCTACAGTCTATATACATTAACATTAGCAGCCATGAATTCATTGTCCTATATCTCTCTGGAATTTCAGTTGCAAAGGTCCTGTAGCTTCTACTTTCTAGTCTGTGGATGCCTTCTTTATTCTGGAATAATGGATCCAGAAAGGTTGTCCTTGGATCTTAACAGTTGTGAACATTGTGAGCAGCACTTGGTATGGTCCATCCCACTTCTCCTGAAGAAGATCACCTGAAAAATTCTTAGCATATACCCAGTAAACTTTATGGTCTAAGCTTTTAACTTTGGTCTCTGATACTTGTTTATGGACTTTTTCTAATTGTTTACCCAAAGAGATCATATATTCTTAGAGATAGTGATTTTCTAATTGTTCTAGATTGTCATTATTTATTCCAACTGTCTCATATGGCTCTCCAAACAGAATTTTGAAAGGACTTAACTTTTTCTTAGCTCCCGGTTTTACACGTATTCTCTACAGAGTGATAGGGGGTGCCTGATACCAGTATAAATGAGTTTCCTGACAAATTTTAGCGATTTGTTGCTTAATCATATGATTCATCTTTTCTACTTGTCCACTAGCTTGTGGTCTATATGGAATATGAGTTGCCAGTTAATTCGTAATATTTTGCTAACCTGCTGCACTACTTGTGCACAAAAATGTGTTCCCCTATCAGATGAAATAACTATTGGTACCCCAAATCTGGGTGTTATTTCATTTAATATCACTGTAGTCACTTCTCTTGCCGTATTAGGTCTACATGGAAAAGCTGCTGGCCATCCAGAAAAAGTATCTGTTAATACTAGTAAATGTTAATAACCCCCTTTCCTTGATAATTCAGAAAAATCAATTTGACAATGTTCTTCCAGAGTATTTCCTCTCCCTACAGTTCCCGTTCTATCTTATTTCCTGTATTAGGATTGTTTCTTAAACAGATCTCACATTGCTGAGTGACTTGTCTGATAGTAGTATATAAATTTTTCCCTGCCACTATAGTCTTCAGATATTCATATAAAGAGTCTTATTATGTTCATCTTTGACAAATTTCCGCATTTGATTACCCAGTATTATAACTTGCCCGTCCTTTAGATGAGCCCATCCCTGAGATGGAATTTGCCCCCATTTTTCTTGAATCTATTTCTGATCTTAATCTGAATATTGGACTTCTGTTTGATTTATAATTTTTTCTTCAGGAACTAGTGCCATCACCAAGGGCTCTTGTGGTTGTTCTGCCAACTGCCTGGCTGTATGATCAGCCAATTTGTTACCTCTTTCTGGATCAGTATCACCCTTAAGATGTCCTTGATAGTATCCAGTAACAACTTGTGCAGGTAATTGTACAGCCTTTAATAAACGGAGGATCTCCTTTGCATATTTAATTTGTTTTCCTTGTGACATTAACAAACCCCCTTCTTTCCAAATTGCCCCATGGGCATGAACGACTCCAAAAGTATACTTAGAATCTGTCCATATGTTAATATTTTTCCTTTTTGCCAATTCCAGCGCCCTTATTAAGGCAATGAGTTCTGCCTTTTGAGCAGATGTTCCTATTAGTAGAGGATTTGATTCAGTTACCTCTGTAGTGGTGGTAATTGCATATCCTAATTTACGAATTCCTTGGCAGACAAAACTGCTTCCACCAGTATACTAGGAATCTTGTGCTTCTTCCAGAGGCTCTTCCTTTAAGTCAGGTCTGCTTGAGTAAACAGTTTCTATAGTCTCAATACAGTCATGTTCCAGCGGTTTTGTAGCTTTTCCTTCAAGAAAGGAAGCTGGATTTACAATATTAGTGATCTGAATTTCCACATCATCTGACTTGACTAGCATTGCCTGATATTTTAGGAATCTGGATAGGGATAGCCAGTGATTACCTTTCTACTCGAGCAGTGCTGACACAGCATGTGATACCTGCTGTGTCTGACCCAAAGTAAACTTCTGGGCTTCTTCTGTATTCAGTATCACAGCAGCCGCTGCTTGTAGGCATCCTGGCCAACCTTTACTGACCTCATCCAGTTGTTCAGAGAAATAGGCCACATCTCTCTTTCAGGGCCCCAGTCGTTGTGCTAGGACTCCAAGAGCTATTCTCTGTCTCTCATGCAGGAAGAGCCAAAATGGTTTTGTCACATCAGGCAGCCCTAGGGTGGGAGCTCTCATGAGTTCTTTCTTGAGGTTTCAAAAGTGTTTTTTGCTTCACCTGTTCATATCATCTGCATGTTGTTGATTTTTAAAAGTTCATACAATGGTTCAACTATGATGCCATAATTTTAAATCCATAATCTGCACCAACAAACATTCCAAGGAAAGTTCTGAGTTCTTTCACTGTTTGAGGAAGAGAGGTTTAGCAGATGGCTTCCTTGCACTCAGTCCCCAGTGCTCATTGTCCTTCAGAGAACTTCATATCCCAGGTGGATCACCTGCTTCTGTACTAGTTGTGCTTTCTGTTGAGAGGCTCAATACCCGTTTAGTCCAAGAAAA